TTTTATTTTATATTTTCATTCTCTTTGATTTCATCTCTTCAGTTTATTTTTACTTACTTATTTATTTGGATGGAGGTACTTGGGATTGAACCCAGGACCTTGTGCATGTTAAGCATGCATTCTACTACAGAGCTATTACCCCCACCCCTTCATTGCTGTTTTGATAGCATTTTTTAAGAGTTGTTCAAAATTGTTATTTAGAATAAGGTAGCATATAAATAAATATGCAGACATATAACCAGCCAAACATGAGTGAAATATCTCGTGTAGCTGAGGAATTGAACTTTCCTGATCATAACCTTCTTCTCATTTTCTCCTCTTTGGCTCTGTAATGCCAAACGCTTCCATTCATCTGTCTCAGTCACTTCGTTTTCTTGCAGACTCTCCTTGTACTGGCTTTTAAAATGTTGTTTCCTAGGATTTAGTCTTAGACTCTCTTCTCTTTTCCTCCTAGATATTATTTCCCATCCATACTCTAGAAGTCAACTCTCACCCACATACTTGTGACTTCCACAGCTACATGTCCTGTTCAATCCTTTTCTCGAAGTACAGAACTCCCTTTTCATTTAATTTCTAGACACCTGAGGCATCATGTGTCTCTAAATACAAGATTTTGTTTTCGATTTCCATTAAGAGGAGATAAGTTAATTGGTAAATAATTTCCAAATTACATTTTAAAATTTAACATCACTTCTCAAGATTATACATCATAGTCAAGTGGGGTTCATCCCAGGGACACAAGGGTGGTTCAACATATGCAAATCAATCAATGTAATACATCCCATCAACAAGAGAAAGGACAAAAACCACATGATCATCTCAATAGATGCAGAAAAAGTATTTGATAAAATTTGACATCCATTTATCATAAAAACTCTCACCAAAGTGGGTATAGAGGGAACATATCTCAATATAATAAAAGCTATATATGACAAATCTACAGCCAGCATAGTACTCAATGGTGAAAAACTCAGAAGCTTCCCACTGAAATTTGGGGTAAGACAAGGCTGCCCACTCTCACCACTCCTATTCAACATAGTCTTAGAAGTCCTAGCCACAGCAACCAGGCAAGAGAGAGAAATAAAAGGGATCCAAATTGGAAAAGGAGAGGTAAAAGTGTCACTATGTGCAGATGACATGATACTATATATATAAAACCCTAAAAGGTCCACACAAAAAACACTAGAACTAATCAAAGAATTCAGCAAGGTAGCAGGT